TCCAGTAATATTCTTCATGGCATTCCCAGACCAGTTTTGATGCCACCTTCGGGTTTGTCAGAGCGCCTAGTGCGCTCTTGCTGTCTGTAAAGCCTTGCACACTGTAAGGTAGCATACACTTCCGCCTGAAAGGCGTATGTGTATAGTCCTAGCGGATAGCTGTAGTTTAGATTTATATCCGCTCGGTATATTCTTCCAGCTCCCGTTCCATGTTGGGTCTTCGATCCATCTGTATACCAGGTGTTTTTCCAAACATGTTTTCGGGATGACTAATGTTCTTCTTTCACTCTTCACGGCTTATAATTTTGGCCGTGAAGTTTGTGGTAAAGGTGTACTTCTGTGTCATGTGGTCCATGCACATATTCAATATGTGCTCCTCCACTTGTTCCGAAATTTCTGTTCGGTCCGATCTTTTGTAGTTCGGTAAGTTTTCCAGTCTGAATTGGCCCATCCTGGCCTCCCCCATTATCACAAAGTGTAAAGGAGGTAGATTCAGAAGTGTTTCCAATGCAGCTGTTGGGGTAGTTCTCATTGCTCCCGTCATTCCCAAATATACAAGTCTTTGTACCTTGCCTAGTTTGTTGATGGCGGTCGCCTGCTTCATCTTTGGCCACCAGACCAGAGATGCATATGTTATCATGGGTTTAACCACCATCGTGTATAGCCAATATACCATGTCTGGTTTTAGCCCCCATGTTTTTCCATCGTTGCGTCTGGCGAGCATCAGTGCTACCTCCACTTTCTTCTTTATCCTGTCCTAGTGTTGGTTCCAGGTCAGTTTGGAATCTAGGATTACTCCCAGATATTTAACCTTCCCCGACACTTATATTTCTTCACCTCGAAATTTTAGAGGTCCGAGACCCTCTTTAGTCCTCTTGGTAAATGCTACTATGGTCGATTTGGATGGGCTTATGTTAAGCCCTTCTTCTTCGGTCCATCTTGTTATAATGTTCAGGGCCTGCTGCATGCATCCCTTTACTACATTATTGTATTTACCCTGGACTAAGATGATTAAGTCATCTGCATAGTCCAGTGCTTTATACCTGTCATGTATTCAGTAGAAGCGGCAACACGGCAGTGTTGCCGTGATATAGAGTGTTGTCAATGATGCCCTTATTAGAAACAATTAGTATTTCACAATACCCATTATGGTCCATTACAAGGTTTCATAACAGAGGGGATATAACCCCCCCTGAGGACAGCTTCTTGCTACCCGTGCCACGACTGTTTCCCCCATAATGGTTGTATCTTCCCCTAAGCATGCAGTCTATCCACCTACAACTTGTCTTGTCGATCCCTCTTCTCCTCGACGCCTGGATGATTGATTCTAACGACGTATTATCAAATGCGCCCTCATTGTCCAAGAAAGCAGCTAAAAGTACTTCCTTGTTTTTGTAAGTATATTCTAATTTTTCTGTTTCCCGACATAGAGCCGTTTCTGTTGACATACCTGACCTGTATGCATATTGGTCTCGATGTAATGGTCTGATAGCTAGTGATACGTCCCTGATATGCCCGTCAAGTAGTTTTTCTAGCGTTTTCAACGCAAATGACATGAGACTAATTGGTCTCAAAGCCTTCGCCGAGTCCTGTCCGATTTTCCCAGGTTTCGGAATTAAGGTGGCCTCCGATTTTCCCAGGTTTCGGAATGAAGGTGGCCCTGATCAGTCTCCAAGTTTTTGGTATATGTCCCAGTGCTAAGCTTGCCCTGAGAATTATACACAATTTTTTGAAAAGTATTTCCGGCCCCGTTTGAAGCATTACTGGGTATACGCCATCAGGTCCCGGCGACTTATAAGGTTGGAATGAGTTTACAGCCCATTTAATTTTCTCCATATCTATCCCCTTCTTTGTCATTTGCCAGTCCTCCCTGGATGCCCTTTTCGGGGTCTCCAGTTCTGAATTCGCCCAGGACTCCGTTGTTAGATTTGTAATTTCTGACCCGGGAAAGTGTACCCGGAAATGCTCTCTGATAGTCTCTTCTCCGGTTTTTGTATAGTCCCCCGTATTTGTTTTCAGATTATTTATTGAGACCTGAGGTTCCTTCGAGAGTATTTTGTAGAGCCTGGCACATGCTTGGGTCTGTTCTCCACGTATCTCTCTTGGATTTTCTCAGGACTTTGTTATACTCAGTTAGGGACCTTCTGTATTGGTCCCATGAACCTGATTTCCTTGCACATTTGAAGGCTTTTCTAGTTTTTTCTCTCATCCTCGACAGATCTTCATTCCACCAGGGCACATTCCGGTTTGATTTCTGATTTACTATGGAACAATGTTCGTTGTAAGTAGAGATAATAGCTCCCTGTAATCGATCTGCTGCCAACTCTAGGTCTATGGAATCTCATGTCAAAATCCATGCGGTCTAAACAGGTTTCCAGGTCCACTGTATAGGCTCCCCAGTTTGTTTTCCGGGGATTTTGATATGTTAGGATCGAGGTCTGAATCCCTCCAATTTCAAAGTTCCATTTCTGAACATAGTTACTTACAAATGTAGCTCCTATTATTACGTCTATCACTTCACTACGTCTCGCATTTATGAAAGTAAGTTTATTGCCTATGTTTAAAATGTCCCAAGTTATTTGCCATGATAAATTGTAGTAAGTGCTCACCTCTTTCGTTGGTGTTGGTGCTTCCCCAGGTTACGCGGTGTGCATTGGCATCACAGCCAATTATAAGTTGTAGTCCCTCTGCTTGGCAGGCCCTAACCAACTCCTCCACTTCCCTGGTTGTTGGTGGTTCCGGACTGTCGTAAGGAAGGTATGCTGATCCAATGATGATTTCCTCAGGTCCGCCCCCGCTAGCCGTCTTTATTTTGACTGCCGTCAAGTCTCTGGAACACAAATTACTCAACGGCAGTATATTTATTCCTTTATGGATAATTATGCATGTTCCAGAGACCCCAAGTCTCTGAGGTTCTGTTATAAATTAACTCCCCTCTGATGCCCCCCAATCACATTATTTTTCCCCTGTACACCCAGGGTTCTTGTATGAGAGCAATATCAAACCCCGCCATCACTTTGGTAAGGACAGCCGAGGCCCCCCTTACTGTGTTGCAGGTTTGTTTGTATTACTCTCAACATTGCTCTTAAGACCCTTCAGAACCTTGAAGGTGACCATGCCCAGCTTATAGTAAGGCTTTAAACATGTTCCTCTCCAAGGCCCTGAAGGAACTTTCATTCGTGGTGTAGGCCAGGGTTTGTCCTTCCTCTTCCACTTTTCTGCTCAGGAGGATCCAGTTTTCCACTCCCAGGGAAGGATTCTGCTTACTGAGGCGTGTCCTAACTGTAGCCTCCTCGTCTTTTTGGCCCGGAATGAAGGCTAGGACTCTCGGTCTCTTCGGGAGTTCGTTGGCCTCGACCACGGTCAAGTCCGCCCCCTCCCAAAGACTGCCCAAGTTTCCAATGCTTCCTCTGAGTCATTCTTTTGTCCGTTCATTCGCACAGGTTATCCATAGGATCCTTGCGCCGAATGAAGTTTTTTTGAAATGGAGGTTTTCGAGGCTACCAGAGGGAGTATTGTCCAATTCGCGGACAAGTCCCTCCTGGATCAGGTCTGCTTGACCCTGACTCAGGGTGACCTCAGGGTGTCGCATGGCGGTGACCGCCTCCATCAGGCCCTAGCAGCCTTGCTATAGGTCCCAGTTTCTTTGGAAGCCCTGGGTTTTTTCAGTACCTTTTGTGGGGGGTTTTTTCCGTTTTTCTGCGGTCTTTTGTATTACATGGTTTTTGAATCCATGTTTCCGCAGCTATTTTCCTTGCTTTCATCAGTTTGCGCCTTTGCTCTCCTGATGGCCTTTTCTTCTGCAGTTCGACTTTCGTCAATCCTGCAGTTATGCTTTCGGCGGGGCTGGTGTTTCCCGCCGTTTGACTATGACTTTCAGGTCAGTTTGCACCTCCAGGATAGTCTGATTTTGCGAGGAGTCGCTCGAAGAGTCCTCCTCTGATATTTTGATTTTTCTCGTATCCATCTAAGTCCTACGAGTATGGGGGAAAGGGTTGTCCACATCCATGGTGCCCCCTGTATGGATGTAAGGCTGGATACTTTGGGAGGTCGCCTGGTATCCCAAAGGCTCCGTTAGTGATACCTGATGAGGCTCAGGTACCATTCATCCTTTGGCACGGGTCGCATAACACCTTGGATTAGGCCTGGGTCCTTCTTGATCTGACTGTTCTGTTACGGCCTGGGAGACCGTACCAGCAGCTAAGCTGCCGCCAACATAGCCCGTAACTTCATCACAGTACGCAAGCCCTCCCACCACGACAAGGCGAAGACCCCTCGGGGGGGTAGATCTTCTCTTACAACAAGACCAGTTTGCTTTACAAACCACATTCTTATGAAAGCTACTATAAAATTCAACTATTATTGATCTATGTTTATCTTTCACGAGTTTCCCTACTCTATAGCAACTTTCAATACAGAAATCAGTCAATTTCAAATCCATCCAATGTTTAATTATTTCGACAATGTTCTGCATACAATTCTAATTTTTCTTTTATTTTATATATTCGAAGATTTTTCCTATGTAAATACTGTTTATTTTTTTGAATTTTTCATCATTGCTTTAATTGTGTCACTTTGTTTCTTCAGTAAAGAGTGAGGATTTTCAGTTTTCAGTAAATCAATTTCTCCTTCAAATTTTTCTGGTATAATTTTCGAAATCGAGTTGCACAATGTACTAAGGAATACTTCTGAACTGCACACATAGGTTACTATTGATTTGATTGTTGAGAGCAGTTCATCCTCGCCCTTTTTATTAATCTCGTGCTTGCCATTTGATATAATAGAATCAAACTAACTTACTGTACTTCTACAAAAATTTTCACAAACTTCACTTTCCTCTTTTGTCATGTAAATTTGGATTATTTCCCACAAAGATTCTCATAAAATGTATCAATTATCCGCTCTACATACAAACACAACTACTCCATACGGCACATAGCAACATCTTATAGATGAATCAATCACTTTTTTAGATTCATCGGGGTCCCTGTCCTTAAACAACAATAATAAATGACCACCATGGTCATTTATTTGGCTGATTTGGCCGAACTGTTTTATACTCGAAAACATCAATAGGAATGTAATAACCATGTAGTCAATGCATGTGAAACTAGTGTAATCATTTTTGTTTGTGAGTATTATAGAAGGGCCTATATAATTTTTTAAAACTAAAACAATAAAAAATGTAATTCAGAAGTTTAGTGTTTTTTTTGTCCGATTGTTTGAGAAAGTCAATTCTGAAATCCCCACATAACGTATAAAATTGGCACGATTATAGGCAACTGGACTGGATCAAATACTTAATGAAAGTAGGTATGAATGTCACCATCTGGGGGGGTCTTCAGACTGAAATAATGCAAATTTTTACATTCTCAATTTTAAGATTAATTTAACACAGTTCAATGTAAGATTCAACAGATAAGTTTTCAACAGTTTTTAAGCTTCGGTATGGTTTTGTCTAGCGAAGAAAGTAATCACTATGTAATTAGTGAAATATTTACAATTTAAATGTTGATTTGTGAGTTAATGCTTCGAAATACACAAAAAATCTATGTTGTTGAAGTATAAAAATAATTAATTTAAAATTGTTTTTTTTAAAGCATTCAAAATTCGCATGAAAAACATTGACATAATTAAAAACTTTCTCATTAAGACAATGACTATCTTCTTGATCACACGAACCCAGGATGCCATTGTGTGAGTTACTCTTGGTCAACATCAAAAGTTTGGAGCTACCTGGGAGAGTTGAGGGTATAAAAAATTCCTCGTATCGTGACAACTACTGAGGGTTTGATCAGTTGGCTCTTCAACTTGACTTGATACCAGTCCGTGTTCTGATACATCCGACTGGAGGAGGTGTGGGTAAAGAGTTCCATAATGGCTGGTAGACAAACTTCTATTGCATCGAAACTCATTGCAGGTGTGTTGTCAGGGATATAAAAATTCCTGGTATGACAACTACTGAGGGGTTGATTAGATAAATCTTCAACTGGTGACTGACCATATAAGTTCGTGTTCTGATACATCCGACTGGAAGAACTGTGGGTAAAGAGTTCCATAATGGCTGGTAGACAAACTTTTGTTGCTTCGAAAAATCATTGCAGGTGTGTTGTTTTGGTTTTCAAAATCATTATCATTAGTGTCGTTTTCACTAACAGTGAAATGTTAAATAATATGAGATATTATTGTCCTGCTTAGTAACTTGTTTGTTGAATTCGTAAGAACATTATTTTCCATTGATTCACAATGTTGTTACATTTAATTAAATTGTTAAACTTTTTTAAATTCGAACATGTTTCATCAGCTTCAAATTATTATCGTAAATTAATAGATTTCTCTCTCTGTTAGGCTTTAGGAAATCCTGCCATACATGTTTTGAATTATGAAACTCAACCACCTTGTTGGTGGTTGAGTTTCACAGATTTTTGTAGAAATCGCAATGAGTATCATACAGTGTAGTATAGAATAAGTGTTTTTTACTTCTTTGGCTGCTTCACAATTTGTTATTCTTTTCTTCAAATTTTCCGGTCCTCATTTGCGAACTTTTTTGACCGTGATCTTAGCTCAGTCGACCTAGCCGTTTGCAAATGTTTTATGAATACTAACCCGGATGTCTAATTAAGAAAGATTCACTGTGAAGAATTCAGAATTTTGTCAAAGCCACTCAAAATACAATTTCAGTAGGAACTTTGCCATACTTTCATTTCTTAGTGAGCATTGATATGAAGACATTTGATCACTGATTAGTTTTTCCACTCTAGCAATAAAGAATTGTGGAAAGGGTATTTCGACAACATTGAAATGTTTATCCATCCTCTATCCTTTTTGTAATTTTAATTCATTGGTATATAGAAATTTAGTACTGCATTGATAACAGTTTTAGCCTACCTTGACTAATTACACTCCTTTATCAGTAAAAAATCAGTTTGTTCCCATATACACAATGAAGTAAAAGTGGGTTGAAAATTATTAACGTGACAATCGACATATAGCAAATAACGGATGAGGTTGAATATCGTAAACCGAGGATTATAACAACCGAATCCGTTATTTGCGTATCGGCTGTGTTCAAGACTTTTCGTAATTCCGCTGAGATTACATTTTGATTAAGAGGAAAGAACAAACTACGTAACTCGTTATTCTACAGAAAAATCCCAACATCGTGTTGTCATGGAACAACTTAACAATATTATGAACGTCAGTTTTTTCTGTTTGCGAGTTCGCTTTAACAACGACTATGGATGAAATTGAAGGAATTGGGGAACAAAATCAAATTTCTTTAGAAATATTGGGAGAATCATGTGCAGGAAGTGCTGATTTACTGCCGAAAATAACTCAAGAGTGATAAAAGAATATGAATATTTTTAAGAGTGGCATAAAAGCAAGAATGTAAACGTGGTTAATGAATAGGTATTATTGCCTATACAAAAGGAAAATAGAGGTACATAAAGACAATACAGAGTCTGATTTAGGAAACATCAAAATGAGTAGCGACGAAGAATCGATGACAGATGGAGGAAAAGAAAAAAAAACTGGAAAGTTACCAGATATATTCTCTAAAAGCAGAAAAATCAACAGAACACCTGAAAGAAAGAAAAAAGAAGAAGACGACAAATTAGAAACTATCATCACAATGATTCAAGAAATGAAAACGGATATGAAAAAGGAACTCAAACAAATAAGGGAAGAACAAAAAATATAGAAATCAAATGATAAAAATCAAAACGGACAATGACATACTGAAAAATGAAAATAAATACCTGAAAGAAGAAATTGAAACAATCAATAGCAAACTTGACAAAATAGATAGAGAAACGAGAAGAAATAATGTGGTTATACAAGAACTACCAATCACAACAAATGATGAAGAGGAGTTGAAAGAAGGAATGACTTCATTCATCAAAAATACTATGGACATCGATTTAAAAATAAGAAATGCCAGAAAAATAGGTGATAAAATATGTCTACTACAATTGGAAAACTCAAATGAAAAACAGAAAGTGATGAAAAATAAAAACAAACTCAGCAGGATCAATGAATACAAGGTATATAAAAATGATGATATGTCAAAAGAACAAAGGGAAATAGAAAAAAAGATACGAAATCAAGCTAAAGAAGAAAGAAAAGAAGGAAAACATGTGAAAATTGGATATAGAAAACTAGAGATAGATGGAGAAAAATGGTACTGGAACCTAGAAAGAAACGAACTAGAAAAAGAAAAGAAAACACCAATCAATACAAAAAACTGATAATGAACACAGGAAACATAGATCGAACAAAGAAGAAAACGGCAAGGAATTCGGATTACGATATTAGGAAAAATGAAATGATAACGAGAAGTGGCAATAAAAATAACAAAAAAATGCATGGTTACTAGGAACGTGGAACACTAGAAGCTTGAATGGAAAAGAAATTGAAATAGTAGAAGAATTTGAAAGGAACAAATTGAAAATACTAGCAATAACCGAAACGAAAAAAAAGGGACAGGACAAATACTATTACAGAATGGACACATATTAGTATATAGCGGAGTAAAAATAAAACAAAGGGCATCAGCTGGAGTTGGATTAATAATACATAAAGACTTAACCGAGAAAATTAGAAAATGGGAAGCTATAAATGACAGAATAATAACCATAGAAATAGAAAAACAAAATAAAGAAGTGAGTACAATAATAGCAATATAGGGACCAGATGAAAATGAAAGAATGGAAGAAAAAGAAAAATTTTGGGAAAATTTGACAGAAATAACCGAAAATGCAAGAGGAACACTAATAGTTATGGGAGATTTTAATAGCAGAGTGGGAAAACAGGACCATATATGCAAAACAATGTTAGGAAACAAACCAGAAATGACAATGGAAAGAGAATGCTTCAATACTGTCAATTACAAAACCTGATCATTACAAATACATTTTACCAACACAAATACATACATAAATTCACAAGAGTACAAGAAAGCAGAGGAGAAAAATCAATAATTGATTACATTCTGGTACAGAAAAACACAGTGATCATTTCCTATTGACAATAAAAATCAAAGGAGACGCAACAGAAAATAAACAAGAAACGGTGACTAAGAAAGGTGAACACATCACGATCAGATCATATAAAATGAGAGACACAACTGTAGCTACTAGATATAAAGATATTACCAACGAAAAACTTGAAAACAAATACAACGACATTAAGAAAGGAGAATTACAAGAAGCGTGGAACATTTTTAGAAATGTTATCATAGAAACAGCTATCCAGTACATGTGGCACCTACAAAACAAATAATAATAGAAAACAGACATCATGGTGGAACGATGACATAAAGGAGGCTATAAAAGAAAAAAAATACAATGGAAGAAATACTTGAACAATAATACAACAGAACAGTATGAAATATATAAAAACCGAAGAAAACAAGTAAAAAGATTAGTTAATAAAGCAAAAGAAATGTCATGGATTGATCGGTAATAAACTAGAAGAAGACAGTAAAATTAACCAAAAACTATTCTACAAAGCACTAAAATCCATGAGATCAGATAAACCCTTAAAAGACATACAAATCAAGAATTTAAAAGGTGAAATAATTACAAACGAAATAGATATAATGAAGAGATGGAAAGAATATTTCCAGACACTACTAGGACAAGGAAATGAAGGATCAATAGAAACAACAGAAAGGAACCAGTTAAACGAAAGCGAATCATTGATAGAAATGCAAGAATTAGATGAAGTAATTAAAACATTGAAGAATGGGAAAGCACCAGGAGAGGACAAAATAACAGCAGAAATGATGAAAAACTTAGGAGAAACTGGAAGAAAGAGCCTACTAGAAATAATCAATAAGGCATGGAAAAAAGAAACTATATTAGAGGAATGGGGAACAGCTCAAATAACACCGATACATAAAAAAGGAGACTACAAAAATTGCAATAATTATAGAGGGATCACGCTACTGAATACCATAACAGAAATAATAGAAAGAATAATTAACAACAAACTCAGGAATAAAATAGAGTCACAACTCTCAGAACCACAAAGTGGGTTCAGGCCCGGAAGAAGACCACCAAGACCACATCTTCACAATAAAACAAATAATAGAAAAGAGAAGATCAGAAAACCAAAATATATATTTGGCATTCATAGACCTAGAAAAATCTTTCAACAAGGTACCAAGAACAGAATTATGGGAGAGTCTGGAAAATAGAAATATCGATGAAAAAACCATAAATATGATTAAAAACATATATAGAAATAATAGAAATTATGTTATCAAGAACAACATGAAATCAGAAGGTTTCAAAACAGAAGAGGGTTTGAGAAAAGGTGGATATCATTGAGCCCAATGCTTTTTAACATTTTTATGGACATCATCAAGGAATGTGATGGAAATAGCAAAAAAATGTGCATTGGATACAAAAATATGCAAAGAGTAGAGATAGCTGAGGGAGCATTTGCCGATGACACATTACTGATAGCTGAAAATGAAGAACGATTACAACATAATATAAAACCTAATATAAAAATATGGAATAAAACACTGAAGAGAAAACAAATGAGAATAAACAAAGATAAAACCAAGGTGATGACCATAGGAGGCGAAGAAATGAATATAATGAAAGATGATAAAAAAATAGAACAAGTAAAAGATTTCAAATATCTAGGCGTAACAATAGACGAAAAAGGAAGACAAGAAGCAGAAATTAACAACAGAATCGAGAAAACCATAAAATTGTACTATACAATAAATAAGAACTTCATCAATAAAAGAAATTTCAAGACAGGCAAAACTACAAATATTCAAAACAATATATAGGCCAGTATTAACATATGGATGTGAATCTTGGATATTAACAAAAAAATCAAAAATAGAATACAAGCAACAGAAATGAAATACCAGAGGAGAATTATTGGAGTGACAAGGAGAGATAAGATAAGAAATACACGAATAAGAGAAGAACTAGACATAGAAGACATTATTTCATTTATAGAACAAAAACAATTAGGATGGTGGGGACACATACAAAGAATGCCAAACAATAGACCTGTGAAACAAATCTATGAAGCGAAAACACAAAACAAGAGAAGAAGAGAAGGAAAATAGAGGTTTATTCTCCTAACTCGCTGTGGAGCAAGATTTGGATGTTGAAACTTGCTTTGAAAGTTTATGACAACATTGACATTTCAAGGTTAGTTTTTTAAATCTTACACCATATCAGAGTATCACCTACAGAAATTGTATTTCCAGATTTGGAAAATGATTTTTGTTCTCAAGACGAAAGTCTGATATACACACCAAAAAAAGCAAACATTTTATCTTAAGAAGAAGTAACTAAGTTTTTGTTGGAGGCAGAGGATCATACATGGTTACTTGAAAAGGTATTAATGTGTGATGAACTTGTTAAGTTTGTGATGAACTTGTTAAGCTGACTGTGGATGATTTTGAAAACACCAGTACCAGATTTGTTTGAAGGTGGTTAACAATGTTTCCGTTCGGACTTCCATTGTCTAATATAATATAAAATAAATTGATTTGATAACCCTTAAAAAAATTAAAAAGATTAACCGAAAATAACAATTTTCGTCATTCCCAAAGAAGGACTTTCTTTTGATGCCCATGATTTATAAAAAAATAGGTTGATTTGCGGCCATCAACTTTGGAAAATCAGCGGTTCTTCATTGGTTATAAGAATGGTAAATGTGTGAAACAATTTGTGGGCATTCATACTATTGGAGTTGTATTAAATAAAATTGCAGCATTCTTAAAGTTGGGAAGTTCTCAGCTCTACACTCGTTTCGCAGTTCCTCGGCTACTATGCTTGTAGAAAATAGTGACAATCTACTGTCGGTAAATGAACTTGGAGGTTGGAACTCCTATGCGGTTGCGGAATATTGAAAATTCAGTTTCAAAAAGAATGAAGATAACGAGACAACTATTTCATAGTAATGAGGCCACACCGACAAGTTCAAATACTAGTTCTATAGATGGTAAATCTCTAATCGATGGAATATAAATTCCAAATAATAGCAATTGTCAAATTACTTTTCGAATTTATAAATAGTAAGTACTAATATAATTATTGTTATTGTAAACAGAATAAAGTTTTGAAAAAAATATTTGAACAAGTGATTTCTTAACGGCTGTTAACATTAACTTTTCAATTGTCATCATATTTGTGTCGCTTTTTTCGTTATGTTTTCGAAATGCAACGACCCCACCACTTATGAAAAAATTATGTTAAGAAATTGCTGAATAATCTATATATAGTTACTCAATACATCATTCGTACATAAAAAATAATGTACACAAAAAAAATGTCGGACATATGACCAGTAATGCAACGAACATGTTAACAGAGGCAATATTATTTGGAAAGAACTATTCAAAAGTTGAACAATCAGAGTTTATATCACTTTTTTATTATTTTTGGTCCATTAGGATATCCTCACAGGTGTTGGAGAAATCGTTCTAACAGGAGGAGTAGAAAATATGTCAGCATCTCCATATATTGTGAGAAATGTAAGATTTGGTAATATAGCCCTTGGAGCAAGCCCAGTCCTAGAAGATTCGCTTTGGATAGGTCTAACTGACACTTACTGTAAACTACCAATGGCGTTGACAGCAGAAAAACTAGGTGAACAGTATAAACTCACAAAAGATGAAGCTGACGAGTTTTCTTTAAGATCCCAGCAACTATGGAAGTCAGGTAAGCATAGTTCATTATATATACCGGGTGTCCCACATTTTATGTGACAGGCAATATCTGGTTTGTTGAAGGAGATACACAAAAATGTTTCATACAAAAGTTAAAGTGCAATAACTCAACAACGCCGTAACCGAATTTCAAAAATCAAACATGAAATGATATCAGAATTTAACGTAGCATCTGAATATATAATGATATACAGGGCGTTCTATTTTAAAAAATGGAATTTTGGTCTGTAGCACCTACATCAAACACCCTGTATATTTAAAAATTATATCAAAAAATAGCTCTCATGAACTCCTAAAACTTTTGTATGAAACATTTTTGTGTATCTCCTTCAACAAACCAGATACTGCCTGTCACATAAAATGTGGGACACCCGGTATATAGCAGTTATGCTTGAAGAAGCTATTGTATAGCGAAACACGTGTCGCAGTTTTTGTAAAACCCTTATAGTGAAAATCATAGAGTAAACTCTATTTATTAGTTTTTTGAATATGGATTTTCATCAAGTATCGGCCAGTTCTATTCAATAACTGTAGTTGATGATTTGTGGCAAGTTAGGGGGCAGTGATGGTTAATTTCTTCTACAGTTGCTCCTGTGAATAAGTGTTTTGCACATGCTGGTCCTCTAATGGAATCGCCTGAGAAGCGTGGTAAATAACAGAGTTTATCGTGGAATGGTTTAAAGTGCTGAACGCCTGTACCGGATATTTGTCTCAATTGTATAGATTGTTTGAAATTAGAAACTGCTAAAAATACTGTGTCATGAATGATTTTACAAGTTTGGTTGTGCCAAGCAAAGGGGGTGGTTACTAATTGATATAGTTCCCAAGAATGAAATTGTTGTTAGATTGGTATACGGACATGAATAAAGATATTATCATCAGTGAATGTGCGTCACAAATAGGGAGTTGATAGTATTTTGATATGAAATGAAATAATAGTGAAATAAAATACAAGTAAAAATAGAACAATTGAATAAATAAAAATAAAGAAATGAAAAAAGAAAAAAAAATAAATTAAAAAAAAGTGGAGAGATTCCAAGTCACGTTAGTTCACGACGTTTCGATTGTTAGTATCTACAATCGTCTTCGGGTGATGACTGGACTGATTCCTCCGAGAGATGACTATTTATACGTTCGAGTACTTTCACTTATCCCCGCTTTCCATTTTCCGCTTCACTGGTTCCGTGGGAGATGACCGTTGTGGCGGGAGTTGGCTATTTTTCGCTTGATGATGGGTTTCCATATGTTGCGTATTTCTACGCTGACTTGGCTGAATACGTTGTTGGACAACATGAATGCGGCTTCCTTGAATTTTCTCCTAAACCAATGTTCCTCTCTGTGCAACATCTCAGCTTGGGATCACTCGATGTTGTGTTGATGGGTCCAAACATGGTCTGCAATTCCTGATTTGCTGGTTTCCCCTCGCTGTGTGTGTTTGTTGTGCTCGGCAATGCGACCATTCAATGGCCTCTTAGTTTCTCCAATATAGGATTTTCCGCACTCACAGGGTATCCGGTAAATGCAATTCTTGGAATCGCAGTCCGCGTTTGTTGGCCTAGTTGTCGTGAGGCTGCTACGGATAGTGTTACCGGATCTGAAGCAGGTTCTGATGTTGTACTTGGAACCAATTCTTCTTATCCTCTCCGATAATCCTCTGATGTAGGGAAGTGCACTGGTTGTGACGGCTTCTCTTCCTTGCGAGGCTCCTGCTATCTTCTAGCCAAAGTCTTTTCTACCATTGCTTTAGAGTAGTCATTCCGTTGAAGATCATTTTTGATTATGTCTAGTTCCTTCTCGAGACCTTCCTTCGTATTACAAAGCCCAAAAGCACGGTCTAATAGAGTCTTGATGATTCCTCTTTTAGTCTATTATGGTGGTTGGATTCGTGGTTCAGATACTGTCCCGTATGAGTGGGTTTTCGGTATACAGATGTTTCCCACTTCGTGGGAAATGATTTCATTTCAGGTTTATTTTGGTTAATATAATTGTTATTTTCATTCATTTTTAATTCTTCTTTTTTGGTTGTTTCAGGGATTTCAAATCAATTTATATAGTAGACAATGGAAGTCCGAACTAGTGAAATTCGTCATATCTTTCATTAGGTTTTGCTTTAACAATTTCATAGGGTCCTGAATATTGTTTACATAATTTAAGTCCACCTCCAAATTGTGTCCTCTTTATAGCCACCAAATCTCCTTTTTTATAAATTCTTGGAGTTTTTCTTCTCAAATTATAAGTTCTTCGATTTACTTGTTGAGCTTTGAGGATTTGTCTTTTACATTCTGTTCTGATATCTTCCCTCTTTTCATTTAACTCTTCTTTCACTTCCTTTTCCAATGGTTCTTTAATCATTACATCTTCCTTACTTTTCATTCTAACGCCCATTAAGACTTCAAAAGGGGTTACGCCAATACTTCTCTGTATAGTTGAATTAAATACTCTTTGTACCTGATTCACAATCCAATAATAATCCCCATCTAGCAACTCTTGTGGTAAAGTCTTTTTATTCATCGTTTTATGAAAAGCTGAACAGTCTGTCACAATTTTGAATTTGAAATCAAGCAAGTATATTCGAAATTTTTTAACAGCCTGAATTATCGCCAAAACTTCAAGTTCTTAGCTGGTATATTTCTCTTCAGCTTCTCTTCAGTATACCGAATACGTATTATTTATTATTAGGTATGATCGTTTCCTGCAATTATTCAGAAAAATATAGAAAATAAAGTGAAAGTGTGTGGCATCAAATTATTCGTAAAAAAATGATTGATGATGAGCCAACCCCTTTCCATTTGAAAAAATCAAGTTAACAGAAAAATTCATATTTGCGACTGTAAAATAATTCTTAAAACGACTGTGAAGTCATTCAAAAAGTCGTAGCCGATTTACACGATCCATGGCATTCTACATCAAAAAATAAAAATTGAGGTGAAAATGATTTTATTTGTCAAATATTGACAAGTGAAGGATTTGTTCAGAATATTACAACCAAGATCTGGCAACATTTACTGCCTTATATTGGTATGCGAATGTTTTGCGTTATCGAACAACTGCATCACCCTTATGTATGTAGGTATATTTCTGACCCTTGCCACATGTTGGATTTTAGATATTTTCAAGTGGTGTGAACAATAAAATAAAATTTGTGCGATTCAGGGAGAGTAAAATTGCATACAGTACACGAAGGTTGTGTTGTAATAATATAAGAAAGTGAACAATAAATACAGACAGCAAACACTGGAGTCTTTCTTGTTTAGATTAATTGGAATTCGAATTCAAAGGGATAAACCCCAACAGTATTGTTGGATTTAGAATGTCATTCTTGATTAAAATAAGTAAAAATATATAGGATTTCTCATTTGAAAATCGAAAGTTGGGGTCATTTCCAGTCAAACCGGAAGTACGACAAAGCAAGTAAATATGTCAAAAAATGTGAATTGAACTATAATACACAACCCCCAAATTTCGTTTTTCTATCTCCAATAATTAAAAAGTTATAGGGGTGAGCCACCTTAGAGAATCACCTGGTATATTGGATTCTTAGTGTTTTCCAATAAGTCGTTGAAATACAATAAAAAGAAGGTTGGAGACAATATGGTTCCCTGGGAAGCACGCATTGATGGTGAAAGTATTCGAGAGATATCCATCGACGGCCACTTGTAGGAGACGTTTTTTCAGGAAGCTGAAGAGCTATACAAAAAATGATCCGACAAGCTATAGCGTCGAAGTTTGGCTGGCAAACCCTCATTCCACACACGATCAAAGGCCTTAGAAAAATCAAGCTCAACAGCTCTCGATTCTCCATGTTTCTCGATTGCGTTATTCCAAATATGGGTGATATACGATAAAAGGTCGCCAGTTAACCTCTGTTTCCGAAAGCCATATTGATGATCGCTCAAGATAATGAAGCCCCCCAAATATTTGAGGATATGGTGGTTTACGGATTTCTCCTTGATTTTTGATATCACATAGCAAAGCGACTGGTCTATAGTTATTTGGAAGAGTTTTCTTGCTCTTTTTGGGAATAGGCTGAACGCGAGCAATTTTTCAACAAGAATAAAAACCTCTTTCTTGTAAGACAAGTTGAAAATTCTGCAAAATACTAGTGCGAGTTCATTTGCGCACTTCTAAAGTACGATGATAGGCACTTCATCAGGACCAGACGCCTTGTTGATATTAGGCTGTTTCAAAATTCGCCTGACTAGATGATGTCGAAAAGTAGTTTTCGGCATTGTGGATTCTAGTGTGGAAAAAGTGGGTGGTGCCTTTCCCAGAAAATCGACTTTGGAGTGGGACGCAAATTGTTCAACTATTAGATTTGCTTTTTTTATGGCTGTTGTTGGAATCGAACCATCCGCTTGTTTGTGGTGAAATTGTGAATTTTGTAAAGTTCTGACAAACAGCTGTGTACCGACCAGAAGGATCTAGACTCGTTGGCATTGGCAAGCAGTTTATCTCCAATTCTCCGATTGTGAAGTTATTTTCTTTCATTTATCCTAAGTTTGCAGCTGTTGCAAGCATTAACACGGTTTTCGGCACTGGGATGTTTGCGCCACTGCCGAAAAGCGAGATTTTTGGAGGCGACAGCTTGCTCACAATTTTTGTTAAACCAAGGTTTGCTGTTAGAAGGTCGTTTCAGTGAAAAAGAAATGTTTGCTGTTAGAAGGTCGTTTCATTGAAAAAGAAATATATGCGTCCATGGATGATAGAATAACTTCTGTGACTTCAGAAGCACAAGTTGAAGGATCTTTAGAGCTGAAACAAACATCTAGCCCGGGGAAATTTCGGAAATGGTTTTGAAGATCCTCCCTTTCAGCTGATTTGTAATGCTAAATTTTGCGCGCGGCTTAGATTGTTTTCCAACATTTATCGGTAATTCATTCAACACTGAAATGAGTTTGGGGTCAGAAGATCCCAATGGAGACCTTGCGGTGACTGTAAATTTCTGGATTGGTTGTTAGAATAGCATATTCTCCATCACGGTCAGGAATCCTG